TTTCTCGGATGCCTATCCGCAGTATCAAGTATTATTGTTACGATTCCCAATTCTTACTACTACTCGTACTACGACTACTACTACACTACTACTTCGAGGACTACTACTACTACTACTACTACTACTACTAATATTACTACTACCACTACGACTACTACGACTATTACGGTTACCGGCGCAATCATGCTACTAGTATTACTAGTACAATAGTTACCATTACTACTATTACTACAACTACTACTACTACGACGACGACCACGACGACTACTACTACTACTACTACGACTACGACTATTATTCTTAGCACCCCTATTTGTACGATCGCCATTATTACGATTTCGAGGATTACTAGTACTCGTACTAGTGCTACTAGTACGAGTATTATTCTTACTACTACTACTACTACTACTACGACTACTTTTTACTTCTTTTACTACTACTATTACTACTGCTACTACTACTACTACTACTACTACTACTACTACTACTGCTACTGGTACTAATACTACGACATCGTGCACTTGCAACCCGCACGGGCGACCGTTTCCATCCATGGGTCCTACTTTCGTTAGACAACTGCAGCGACGAGATCCCCCACGCGAGGACTTGAACACGTTTCTGAACCAGATGTGTTTCGAGGAGTGGGCGTGTTTTTTGTTTGAAATCCCTTTGTCCTCCTCCCTGCTCCATCCCCTGGTGCGATTCCTTTTTTTATACTTCTGTTACTACGAGTACGACAGTGGTTTTCATGATACGATTACTAATACTATTACTTTGATGTCACGATGACCAATATTCTGACTACTAGTGCTAGTACGACCCTTCTTACAAGTATGATTTGGTTTGCTAGTGCAGCGGCGACTACTACTACTGCTAATACTTGTGTTTTTGCTTGTTATTTCGGTTACGATGCTTACCATTAATATTCGTATCAACATTACAGCTACTACGGCTACTACCACTAATTGATCACTGCTCGTCTTACTTTTGATACAAGTGCTACTACCACGACCATGAATTTTAATACGACCAGCACTATCATTGTTACTAATACTCCGGCTGTTGAGACTACCATTACTATTATTGTTATTGCTGTTTTTTCGTTTATGCGACGACGGCGATTACTACTGCTACTACTACCTATACCTACTATTAGTACGGCGACGACTATTAGTACTACGTTTGCGACGACTACTACTACTACTACTACTATTACTACTACTACGACGACTACTACTACTACTACTACTACTACTACTACCACTCTTACGACCACTACTACGACTATTACTACGTTTACTACTACTATTACTACTACTACTACTACTACCACCACTGCTACTTCACCACTGACCACTGGTGTTGTCATTACTACGAAGACTACCACGGCGACGGATTCTACTATTATGACTCTTATTATAACTACGACTACCAACAATATTACGATTTTTCTGTTATCATTTCCATCACCGCCATTACAACCATACCAACTACTACAACTACGACTATTCCTATCACTACTACTACGACTACTATGACTACGATTTCTCCTACTACTACTACTACCACTACAGCTACGACTATTATTACTAAGAGTACTACGAGGACTACTACTATCATTAATACTACTCCTACAACTACGATTACGACTACTATGACGACTACGGCCACGAACATTCTTACTAGTGGTACTACTAGTACTACTACGACTACTACTACTACTACTACTACTACTACTACTACTACTACTACTGTATTACTAGTATTTACTACTACGGCGACTACTACTACTACTACTACTACTACTACTACTACTACGACTACGACTACTACTACGACTACTACTGCTATTACTACTACGACTACTACTACCACGACGACGACTACTACTACTACTACTACTACGATCACTACGACGATTTCGACATATTCTACTACTGCGATCATGATCTCTATTTCTTTTACTCCTACACATCGTACACCGTACACCCTGACACCGTAGATCGGTAAACCGAAGTTAAACAGGAACAAATAGTCCCCCCGGAACCCCGAATTTCATCATCCTCAGGGGAGTACTATTGGGGCACAGGGTTATCCAGCTGCCTGCGGCGAGTCCCGCAACCGCAGGGATCCGATTCGTTCCGGACATTCCGATGCGCGATTCCGATTTCGGCCTCGCCCGTTCCAGCGCGGGGCAGATTCGATGTGGCAACCGACTTTACCGATTTCCTGTCGATCCAGCCCGCTCTGGTTCGGCGAAACAAAATGCTTGGGAAGACTTGGGCAAAGACGACGGACACGGACGAAACGGACGACGGCGATGCCGATGACGAGGTTTCTTGGATGCTTCTCGGAGTCTCTTCGGATGTCTCTTGATATCTTCTTGTAGACCTGTTGGGTAATTTTCGTGGCCTCGTGGCGGTCCCGGGGATTCTTGAAGCGTCTTTGCTGCCTCGGGGGAGCCTCTTCGGGCCTCGTGGGGGTCTCGTGGGAATCTCCTGGGGGCATGTTTGGGGTATCCTGGGGGCCTTTATGGTCCTCCAGGGCGCCTCTCGGGAACCTCGGGGGCCATCTTGGAGGTGATCAATCAGAGAAGAAAGGGTAATCAATTAGCGTTCCCCCCCAGAGGCCAAATTTCGGCCAAACCCTATGCAAAATCCATGTATGTCGCCTTCTCGCCGAAAAATCAATGAATGCCGCTTTCTCGCCGAACTCATATTGGATGCTCTAACCCTCCGCCCCTTGCGGCGCCCTGGGCGTCTCTGGAAGAGGCGCGGGGGAGGCAGGAAGAGGGAAGCGGGATTGTCGGCTATCGGCCCACGGCAATCACCATCCGAAGTCGTCAGCCCGCGACGCTCCCCCACCCGGGAGCGCCTGGGAAGCCATGGGGATGCTGGGGCTCGCTAAGGGCATTCCGAATGGTCACCCCCGCCGCTCCGAATTGTCAGCCCTCGGGCCCGCCTTGACCTCCCAGACGGCCCGGGTGCCAACCTGAATGGCAGCTTTCCGTGGGCCGATGTTCTTGGCTCGCTATTGCGGGGGCCGCGGGACCTGCGAAATGATTGCAATTGTCATCCCCGAACTATTTTTGTACATCGCATTTTTCCATTACGTGTCCAGCTGCGTTCCCCGGGCTGGTGTCTGCCCCCCCCCCACCCTCATTTGGTTTCCATGGTGGGCCCTCTAGCACGATCGCGTCGGTGCACGCCTCTGGGGTTGGCGCCGTGTCGACGGGCGTCTTCGTTTTTTTCTTTTTTTGCCGCGCCATCCCCCGCATTTGTTTTGCTGCCACTGGCGATCTACTGAGCTCCCTTTGTGTTGGTCGCACTCGTTCTCCGCGCTGGTAAACTCACCCGTGCAGCCCCCCCTTTGAGGTTGGTTTCGTGTCGCCCCATCGCCCCCGCCGAATTCTGGCGCGCTCCCTGCCCAGTGCCGCCACCGCCCCCGCTCGCTGCTTCGTCCGCCGCCCCTGCCTCACCACCCTGGCTGCTGCCCTGCCATCGCCCTGTGCGGGGCCGATTCCTTAACAGGCACGTGCTCGACCCTCGGAGAGGTTTCCTGGCCGCCTAAGGGCGGGGTGTGTTGTGTGTATGTGTATGCGTGCGTGTGTGCGTGCGCGTGTGAGTGTGAATGTGAGTGTGTACGTGTTTGTACGTGAGTGCGTGCGTGCGTGCGCGTGTTTGTGTGTGAGAGAGAGAGAGAGAGAATGTGTCTGTGTATGTGTCTGTGTCTGTGTCTGTGGTGGTGTGTGTGTGTTTGTGTTTTTGATTGTGTGTGTGTGCGTGCTTGTTCGCGCGTGCGTGCGTGCGTACGCGTGCGTGTCGTGTGCGTGTGTGTGCGTGCGTGTTGTGTGTGTGTGTGTGCGGGTGTGCGTGTGCGTGCGGGTGTGCGTGTACGTGTGCGTGTGCGTGTGCATGTGCGTGTGTGCGCGCGTGTGTGTGTGTGTGGTGTGGGTGTGGGTGTGAGTGTGGGTGCGGGTGCGGGTGGGGGTACGTGTGCGTCCGCGTGTGCGTGTGCGGGTGCGTGTGCGTTTGCGTATGTGCGTGTGTGTGGTGCGGGTGTGGGTGTGTGGTTTGTGTGTGTTTGTGTGTGTGTTTGCGCGTGCGTGCGTGCGTGCATGCGCGTGTGTGTGTGTGTGTGTGTGTGTGTGTGTGTGTTGGTGTGTTGGTGTGTTGGTGTGTTGGTGTGTTGGTGTGTTGGTGTGTTGGTTTGTGCGTGTGCGTGTGCGTGTGTTTTTGCATGTGTGTGCTTGGGTGTGTGCGTGTGTGAGAGAGAGAGAGAGAGAGAGAGAGACGGCTTGTGTGTGTGAGTGAGTGAGTGTGTGTGAGTGAGTGGGTGCGTGTGAGTGTGAGTGTGCGTGTGAGTGTGAGTGTGAATGTGAGTGTGCTGGCGAATGGCGGGGTCACAAGAGCGCCGTCGTTAGGGCCCGTGGTTGGGGTTCGTTGTGGGGCGCGATCCGCGTGAAGGGTGTGCCGCATTGAAGTGGTACTTTGTAGGAACGCCCCCATTGGGGCCGTAGTCGGGGCTCGTGGTGAGGCACCATCCGTGTGAACAGTATGCGGTGGGCCCCACAGGGGCACCCCCACTGGGCCGAAGTTTGGGCTCGCCACGGGGAACGCTGTGTGTGAGGGTGGTGCTCCGAAATGGGCGCGCCGAGGGCATGCGAACTAACCCGCTGCGGCCTCAGGTTTGGTTCCCCGTGGGGCATGACGCGTGTGACGAGTATCCTGAAACGGAAGAGCTGGGCAGCATGCGCAGCAACAACAACAGAGGCTGGCAGCGCAGCAGCAGTGGCGGCAGCGGCGAAGGGTTGAGACAACGGTAGTTGGCCCTGGGGGGGAGGGGCTTTCGTCGCCACGTTTGGACGCAGCTCCAACAACTTGGTGCGGTTGGACCTTGGGATGGGTCTGAGAACTGAGGTTTCGAGTTTGAGCTGCCGTTCTCTTAACTCGCCCTTCCCCGATGGCCTCCTGTTCCTCTCCCCCCCTGCCGCGCGCTAGTCGCTCGGCAAGCGTCGTGGAGTCGGCGCGCAGCAGCCAGCGATGAGCGATCCGATGAAGGAGCGCTTTCCGCCCGTGGGAGGGGATCGGGTTGGACGGCAAGGGGATCTGGCGAAGGAGGGGCCAGGGGCACCGTGTAGGGGGGATAGCCTAAGGGGGGAGATACATCGACCCCCAACCGCCCATGCATCGCCCACAGGGGCCCGATAGCCCACCTCGTCCAGGACCCTACGGTTTCGCTGTTGGTTATCGGCGGTATATCGCCGATCCCTCGGCGATGTATCGCCGATTCCAGGTCGATGTTCCCCCCCCCCCGGAGCCAGTCACCCCCTATCATTCGCCCTCAGAGGGGTAACGAACTCTGCGTGATGTAACTGGTTTCGGGCTTACCTCCGGCGCGTGGGGGCTCGGGGAAGACCAGCCGCGTGTGGCTGATTCGCTGAGACCCGCTATGCTATCCCGCTGCCACCACCTTCTGTCCGCCCCGAGGGGAGCGGGGGAAAGAGGGGGCAGGTGAAGGAGGACAGGCGAGAGAAGGGGGGTGACGGGCGCCAGACGCCGGGCCAGGCTCCGAGGGCACGCGGGGCGGACCCCCGCAGACCTTTCTGGCCGCGGGGCCGACAAAGCCGAGGCCGGCGAAGCAGTCGAGGCGCACGCACCACCACTCCGGGCTGCATAACGGCAGTTGTTTTCCACACTTCGCTCGTTGGAGGCACGGCCAAACCGCATCATGAAGATGAGTAAATGTCCGAGGGTGCCCATTGCACCATTGCATCTCGGCCTATCCTGGCCCTCGGGCCTTAGACATGAGCCATGGGCTTCCAACTTCGGCCTCGAGAAAGAAAACACGCATTCAGGCACCCCTGGGGCCGCCATCAGTTTTTCGAGGCGGCAGTTCAGGCAAGACCAGTCACAGGGACGAGGAGGTCTCACCAGGCATCCCTGCATCCTTCTCCCTTCCTGCTCCCCCTTCCTTCCCTCCGCCTCTGCGGTGGCGCCTGGCAGGGGTCAGCATTTCCATGCTTGACTGCTTCCCTCGTTTATTCCACTTCCACTGCTGCCCAATCCCGACCGTACCTGAACCTTCGGGAACCGTCCTCCCCGCTCTCTCCTCCTCGTCCTCCTCTGTTCAAAGGGTTTCCGTAGCCATTTTGGCTCAAGATGCAAGTTTCCGCAGGAGAACAAGTGGATACCGCTAGTCCGCGGCAGGCAACACTTCTTGAAGTCTGGCAGTATCCTGTGTCACTCCCACGTTCGAGCTGGCGGGTAAACGGAGGCGTTTCCCGTTCCTGCCATCACGAGCGGTCCAGTTCAGCTCATGGGGCGCAAGCGCTGTGGTAAGGCCACAGAGGAGAGCTCGCCATCTCGCCGTCCATTTCGCAATCGGGAGCGTCGCAGACGGGCACCACAATCATCCGATGTGAGCGACTACGAAGATGGAGATGGCCACCACCACCGAAGCAGATCGGGTGGTGAGTCGCCGCGAGGCAGTGGCGAGCGGGGATCATCGACACAAGTTTTTGACTACAGAGACATCGACTAGGCGCACATCGCTAGCATTGTGGCCCGTCCGGCAGCTCGGCTTTGCAGGAGACCCTCGCGGGCTTCGCCACCACGCTCGGCGAGTCCGTCTCGGCTCAGATGTCGGTTCAGATGTCTGCCAACCACGCTGCCATCATGAAGGAACTCAACGAGTACAAGGTCCAGGGTGATGCCCGGATTGCCGCCATCGAGACCACCTTCGCCTCTCTTCAAGTTGGTGGATATGTAAATATGAATACAAGTGTTGACGCTCCCCGCCGGGACCCATGGGCTGCTTTCGGGGGCACCTCGAGGCAGGAGAAGTGACCCAAGGATGTGATTGACTTGACCAAAGAGGTTAAGGAAGTCAAGGCAAAGGGTTCGTCGGAAGGTGGAAGTAGCAGTTGCAGTGGGCCGCCATCTAGTGCCAGCAGTTCACATGATCAGGCGGCGACTAATGATTCAAAGCGTTGGATTGGTACCTTCCCACGGCGTGTGACGAATAAGCAGAAGACTGCTCACTATGAGAATGTACTACGCCCTATGTTGCCGAAACAACCTAGAGACCATGACCCTGATGTTGAATGGGTGCAGTAAGAGCTACGGGAACAACTTTCCAGATTCCAGTGCAGCGAGAACTTTCTCAACCTCCATGTCCGACAAGACGCTCTGCTGGCAGGATGTGCGAACGTCAGCATCGGCCACACTTCGTGTTCGACAAGATGCACCTGTAGATGCGCGGGCAAAACAACGAGCAGCAAGTCGCGTCTGGGAGGCGACATTAGCTCTATTCAAGCAGTTCAAGTGCCAGATCACCGACTTCCGCCTGGGTGTCAATGGCTTCCAGGCCTTCATCCACGTCACCTCGGCTGAGGAGACGTTCGAGCTCTTCTGGATCAAGGGGGGCGAGCTCACTGGCTTCACCTTAGAGCCTGCCCGCAGCTCGTTCGCCTGGTGGGAGATGCCCGAGCAAGAGGTCGCTGCTATACTTGGTCGAGTCCACAGTTTCCTTTGACGTGGGACTCGACGAGACAGTTCACGCGCTCATCGACTGGCGTCCTCTTCACCAGCGTTGGGTGCAGCGACGGGTTGGCCCACCCCCTCGGGACTGAGGAGCTCGAGACCGACGATGCGCACTGGATGTAGGAGTGATGCCAGGCCTTCTACTGCTGCTCGCCTCCGTTCTTTTTCCCGCTCGTCCTCGTCCTCTGCGTCTTCGCCCTCCTCCTCCCCAGATGGATCCCCCGATCCCCCCCCCCCCCCATGCTGTTTGGACCTTCCCTACCTCCCTGCATCCAGCAGTCTGGAGGTTGCCACTTGGAACAGTCACACGTCGTCCGGTTCTATTTGGACCAGCCCTGGGCTGCAGAATGCTACTTGGGCGAAATTCAAGTGCATTGCTCGCAAGTTCGATGCGGTTGTCCCGCGGGAAACGCACGGCCAGCTTGAAGGTATGAGCGCGTTGAAAAAGCTGTTCCCCTCCTGGAAGCTTGCGGGGTCCTTCATGGGGAATGCGGGGGCTGGGGGGTATCTTATTCATGGTACACGAAAGGCTCGCTGTGCGATGCAACAGGTTCATGCTTGCCCCGATTGTTCCTGGGAGGATTGGGGGGTGCGGGGACCTTGACATAGTCATCTTGCATCTAGACCCGAGCTGGGCCCATCTTCGTGCTCGCGGAGCGCTTCTTGCCATTCGTCGGCGAGCTCGCGATGTCTCACTCGTCGTGACGTTCGTCGACGGCGACTTTAACTTCCCGGCTGCTTGCGAGGGGGGCTTTCGCATTGCTCTGGACCTGTCCGGGGCAGTACTTCGGCGAACTATTTCCCGGGATGGTTGAACTCCACGAACCTGAGTATACCCGCAAAGCCGTTCACCACCATGAGGTTATTTCCTTTGGGAGATTTGATCGGATCTACATGTCCATTCCAACGTCTGATGTTCTCGATCTCGCCCCCCTCGCAGGCCTATGAGGTGATTTACTGGGTCCTCGCCCACCGAGCGACCATTCGTGCGTTTTTGTCTCCCCCATTTCTACTCCGAGGTCGCCTGGGCCTAGCATTTCGACGCGGGTGTCCCGCCATGCTAAATGCGGAGGCATCTTGCGAGAGTTTTTGGAGGAAGTGAATTTGCCCGAGGACCCTTGCGATCGGGCGGGGGATGTCAAGGAGCTGATTCACGAGGCGGCGAGGAGGGTTAAGAAGGTGACCGGGTTCATTGGCCCCGAGTCGGCGGGCCAGACACTCTCGCGGACGTTGGCGCTACTGCGTTCGCATCGCGAAGGGCGCCGCGAGACTTCTCTGCGTGCTCTGCGTGCTTGGCCTGTGCGTCGGGGATTTTATGGCACCTGCGTCTTTCAGTGGAGTGATGCGGCTGGTTTCCACGGGCACGTGCAAACGCTGATGGGGGGTTTTGACGCGGGACGAGGATGCGATCTAGGATGGCCCTAAGTTTTCTTCTACCCCCCGACAGCTAACAACACCCAACGTATCAAGGAGCTTGCAGCTGCATGGGAGCCTGCCCACAGGCGCGTGCATCTGCGAGGGGCAGTCTCTGATTCTGGAGACGAGCGTGTAGACCCTGCCAGATGTGCCAAGCAGCTGGCGGATTACTGTGGGGAGGTTTCGGAGTTTCAGCTCGTTGCGAACTCGGACTTCCATTTCCTGGACCCGTATATCCAGAAGGTTCCTGAGGGCATCCAGTGGGTCCTGAGGCATGACCAGTATGAGCAATTTGTCCTGGCTAAACGCGATGGCAGCCCAGGTGTGGATGGGTTTCCATATTCGTTCTGGAAGGCCGGCGGTGGAATAGCTATCGGCGCGCTCGACCAGCTGTGCCTATCTGGCCTGCGCTATGGCGAGTTCCCTCTGGTTTCAACTTGTCGCTGGCTGCCTTCTTGCCGAAGGGTGAGATATCTGCGGTGGCGCCTGGGCAAATCGAGCCACCATCTGGCGCGCGGCCCCTCGCTCTCTCCAACGCCGACAACACATTGATTGCGAGCGCTTATTCCTGGCCCCCTCGGAAAGTGGGTGCTGAAGCGATCCGCAATGTCCAAGCGGGTTTCTTCCCTGGGCGCCAATTTCTGGACCATGTCATTTCCCTGGGCCCGGAGCTTCGGATCTGGTGCGGCGTTGAGGGCCACGTGGGCACTGGAGGCGCCCCGCATGACGTGAAATCCGCGTTCCCCTCCCTCTCCCGTCACTATCTCTTCTATATCCGTGACAAGATGCAGATGCTTGGATTATTTTTTCATGTTGTTCGTCAGCTCTATAAAGTGGCGCGAGTTGTTGTTGGCCCCCGCGGGCTGCGACGGGTACTTTTTTCAAGCTCGAGCGCGGCGTCAAGCAAGGATGCTTTGTAAGTGGGCTGTTGTATGCGCTAGCCACCGACCCCCTCATTCGGCACATTCTCGATCGGATCCCGTCATCGCCGGCTTCCTCGTTGCGTGCGTCTGCTGATGATCTCGGTCTTACTTCCCAGGGCATCTTCGCTGCGCTACCCTTGGCCCCCCCTATGCTTCGCTGGATCGGCGCGGTCACTG